CGAGGGAAGTTGTGAAGATTGGAGTAGAATAGGGCTAGTTTAAACTATAACCTTCCCGTCTTTAAAGGAAATTATTGAACCTAAGAAACTACAATCTTTAGGAGGAATCAGGATGCCCCATATAGTTGTATTCAAGTTGATGTAGGTTACTCTCATTACCGTATGCATTGGAAGTTACAAGAGTGATTATTGTGTATCATAAGATGGTAGAAAATGATATGAAGCTCCCAAATTTTAATAGTGGTTACAACTTAGAGCACCCTTCTTGCAATATGAACTTTATTTTCGTGCAATTTTTTTTGTAGAGGAACAGGAAAAACAAAAGCAGTCAGTCGAAGGAGACGATGACCAAAATATTACAGAATGATAGTATGCCGCCCAAGTTATGAGTTCTCCAGTATTACAGTCGCAATATTCACTACTATTCGACAGCTCTCTATCTCATATGGTCAGATTTTCTGTAACCTTTCTGATCATTCTTTGCCGCAAATCTTTTGCTTTTAATTTATCTATTGTGGCTTCTGGTGTTCCTGGACTAATTATGCCCCATAGCATTGTTAGGCGAACACAACTTTCCACAATGGTATGATATTGTTCACTTTGAGCATAAGCTCTCATGGCTTTGCTTTGGGCTTCCCCAAAAGGCCTCAAAGCAAAGCCATGAGAGCTTATGCTCAAATTGGACAATATCATACCATTGTGGAGAGTCGTGTTCGTCTAACATGGTATCAGAGCTATGCCCTAAACTTAGCCGTGTCAATAGATTGGCAAATTCTCGAATGTCGAACAAAGGACTCCAAAAAGAAAAAATGAGTCAAGCCTCCTCGAAGGCATTAAAAAATGACTAAGACTCCAAATGAGGCAAGCCTCGATTAAGGGGAGGCGTACTTTGTTCAAGGGGAGGTGTTAGATGAAAGTGTTGTACCACATTGGTTAATTAGGGAATGGTCATGAGTTTATAATCTAAGAATACACTCTCCATTGGTGTGAGACCTTTTGGAGAAGCCCAAAGCAAAGCCATGAGAGTTTATGCTCAAAGTGGACAATATCATATCATTGTGGAGATTCGTGTTCGTCTAGCTCAAAGTGGACAATATCATACCATTGTGGAGAGTCGTGTTCGTCTAACAAGCATATCTCATACTAGATAGTGATTTGTGATTTGTATCTATGCTAAAATTACTTTGTACTTCATCTTATCTTCATTTTGAACCGTTTTCTTATTTTTTATCTGCTAGTTTATAATCTACAATGTACATTAATTTTGCTTCTGGTTTCAGTCAGACCTTTGCAAACGTTCCCAGTCCATTCAATTTCCAGATGACGTCAAACCTGTGAGTATAGATGCAATTAAAAGGTTTTTGTATGATTATTGATAACTTGTATGCTTTGGGTTTTGCAATTTCGAAAAACGTGACTGTTTGACTGAGGTCTCAATTTTCAGTTTAAATTTTAACCTTTTGAGAAGTATTTATGAAATCTTTTTCGCACAGAGTCCTGAAGGATGAGTTTAAATATTAGGTTTATGTTATTAAAAAAATATTACTTTTTTTTTTCTTCTGTCCACATCTCTCTCTATTTTTTCTCTTTTTCCTCTCATTTTAACAAAAAAAAAAAAAAAAAAAAAAAAAAAAAA